GGAGAATGTACCACCTGCTTCATGTTCTCCTTTTTTGCACTAAACTGACACACTTTTAAACAAAGCTGAAGTAGTTGTAAATGCTGCTGCCTGCTCCATCTTCCCCCCACCCCAACAGTGGTTTTTGACAACAGAAGGTCATCTTTCTTGGAAGGCGATTTTCTGTCTGGTTTAGGTAGCTGATGTAGATGTGTGTGTTTATATCTAGTTCTTACACAGTCTATGGGTGTTCTCTACAGGCTACATGTGTAAAATTGAAATGACAGCTTGTTACCCTGCGTGCTGACTCACTTCAGCTGATGAGGTGCTAAGCACAATAGCCCTTGGTAATTAATATCTTGAGTATGTTAAAAAGGTAGTGTCAATGCACTGTTACTCAGTCAATAATAGGCATAAACATCTCCCAACCTTACTAGCATATAAACTATTTTCTCTTTCAAAATTGTGCACCTGCTGGTATATTCTATAACTAATAGCTCTTCTGTTTTTTAAAGGTATGTTCTGCTTGCCCAGTGCTTTGGATGTGCAGTGATTGAGGATGCCTGGCACTATTTCCTGCACAGACTGCTGCATCACAAGAGAATATACAAGTATATCCATAAGGTTCACCATGAGTTTATTGTATGTATTCCTTGATTTTTTTATTTAGTAGTTCTTAGTATATGTGGTTTTTCACACAAATTATTTAAACATCTTATTTGAAAGACTTAAGAATTTTGTACCCCTCCGACAGTGGGATGGATGCCTTTTCTTGAGCTCTTTGTCAAGAACAGTCATCCTGCACGGCCTGGGTGTGTGCATCCTACGTGCCGCATACTTGATTCAGGGAAGGATGATAGCTGTGGATATGGGCGCTGGAAGCAGCATAGCCAGTTGTGTGGTACTGCATCGAGAGCACAGCGCAGTGCAGAGATATTTCCGGTGGTGCTGCGTTTGGCGGTGTTGGGGCTGACGTGGAGCACGAGGTAATGAGCTGTGCTTGGCTGGAGGTGGCACTGCTTTGAGCCAGGTAGGCTCCAGCAGTGCTTACACCTTGTACTGGGCGTAGCTGTGTTTAGATGGCACTGTCTCTGGTTGCAGAAGTCAGTGCTACTGTGTTTGGGCACCACTGTGTTTCGGTGGATAACCTATACCGTGCCTAAGGTGAACTGCAAGCTGCTGGGTCGGGGGGAGTTATACAGGCTGCTGATAATAGAGAAGCTTGTTATTGATGGATGTGTGCGTACGTGCGTACATCTGCAGCAGCAGCTGCTGTTTTCCTCTGGCTCTTGGCAGCCCCTGGGGTCTCCAGTAGAAGCAGCTTCTGGCCGTTACTCTTGAGAGTAGTAAGCAGTTCACACAGAAGGGATCTGCAGGCTAACGGCTGTTTCACTGAAAATTTCCATGATTGTAAAAGGTGATGATTTTAAAATCGCCCTTAAGCCAAGGTGGACTTTATTTTTTTCTGATAATCAAACTCATAACCTTCAGCATTAGGTTAAAATTTTTTAAACTGTTCTCTTTGTATGGTGTCCTACTTCTGAAAACTCTTTGTGAAATGTCTTTTTTTGGTAAACCAAATGTAGGAATGGCTGGGGGGTGTGTGTGTTTATATATACATAAAGGAAATAAAATGTTTTCAGTCTCAAAACAATGTTTGAATGGTGCAGTTTTGGTTTGAAAAAAACATCAAAGACAAAGGTTTTTTTATTTTTAAACTAAGTTTCTAAGTGACTGCTGATTCTGAGAGTATTTTGGCTTCCTTCCTTCTGCTTCAAAGACTGGATGTATAGCAAAGCTGACAGGAGTTTGCCAAACACTTTAATATTCCTGAAATAACGCTTTGGCCTGGGGTAATGGTAAGCCTAAATAAAAGATTTTCAACTAGTAGTGAAGTGTTTGGAATCACTAATGAAATTATAATCTTTATGACCCTGGAATATTCTTTTCTGTTTTCCCAACAAGGAACTGAACACCTGTGTTAAATGGTATGATTGAGCAAATCCCTTACTTTACCCACAGCGTTATTCTGTTTTTCCTGTTGTAGTCTTGGGGGGTAATGGGAAGGAGAGAGTACACAAAATGGTGATTCTGATTTGGGAGTATATAAAATTGAAAATGGTGACTGTTCTCCTGTCTGTTATCTCTCTCTAGGCTCCATTTGGAATGCAAGCAGAATATGCGCATCCTCTGGAAACACTTATCCTTGGAGCTGGCTTTTTTATCGGAATTGTTGTTTTCTGTAACCATGTGATTCTTCTATGGGCATGGGTGATATGTCGCTTGATAGAAACCATTGATGTACACAGGTGAAATCCTCATTGCTTTGTAATAATTGATTTTTCTCTTCTCCCTAAGTCTGTCTCAAACTTACATGTCTCTTTCACTGAGATTTACTGTTTGTTTTGCACTGAAATGCTTTTATGCATCTTGCAAAGAATGACACAACCTGAACCGTTATCACTGTTTTCTGTTTTGAGGTAGTGTTAATAGCAAATCTTGCTGATTTTAAGAGTGTAGACTCTCAGCTAGAGCATATCAAGGAGCATTTCAGAAGCTAGATGCCTCATTAGGATGTATGGCTCTTGATATTTGGTGTACAATTGATTTTATGCATATTAGAACATCAAAAATCAATTACAAAAATCAATATTCCAGCCAAGAGTTCTTTCTATTTCATACTTTGTCACACAGTTTTCCTAGACAAGAGAAAATTTAGGCTATACAACCGCTGACTGTCTTTATACGCATAAATTGCTTTTATTAGTTTGTTTATTTATTTATTGTAGATGCAAAGGCCAAGACTTGTCTCTGTAGTAAAACTGACTTCTTTCTAATTTGGCTCCAAAATGCTAGTGTAAATCCCAGTAGGCTTAGTTGGGTTCATCTGCGAATGAATGAGCTTTTCTTACCCGTCTTCAAGAGGAAGGGGACAGTAAGAGTTCATTTTCTAAATGCTAGTATTACATTTGACCTTGTATCTGTAAATATATTATGAAGCATGTATGTCCTATTCTAAGCGGTGTCAAGTGTTTTAGTGGAATGTGAGCTACTAATGAACTCGTACAAATCATTGTTGGTTATATATTGGTTGTAGACTGAGAAATGTATGTATATGACAGAAAGTAATTGGTGCAAAATATCAGTCTCCTTTGGTAATTATCATTCTAGTTTGTTGTCCGCGTGAGGTGCTTCTAACAAACTGCCTTGTGCTGTCCCCACTAGGTGGTGGTAAGCTGCTGCCCAGTGCTGCTAAGCAAAAGAGTTGAAATCCCTCTAAAGCCAGCTGTTCTGGCTTTAATATTACTTTAATCATGTATTTTGAATTTTAAACATTTGAAGAACTTGGAGTAAGCTGAAAATAAAAAGTAGATATACTACAGTTGTAGTTAATCTGAGATGCTGTCTGAGCAGCTGAGCTGATCTGATCTTCGTAGCTTGTCACTAAAAGATAGTGCTAGTTCTTGTTGCTCCTTCCTGACGTCACTCTTGAGTCAGTTAAAGCTGCTAAGCCAGCAGGAAGTCAGCCACTGTGATATTTTTTTCTTTTTTTTTTTTTTTTTGGTGACTTGCTTAAATTTTTTTGTATTGCCGAGTAAAATGAGCTGAAAAGGTCAGCAAGTGCCAAAGTCATTGTGGGATAGTTTCCAGAAGCATTTGGCCAGGATGGGAGGGATCTTGTTTTCCTGTTAAGCCAGTATTACAGTGATTAACTCAGGGCCTTATAAAACCCCAAAATCTTTTTATTTTGTAAAAGCAACAAGTTAAGTGTCTATATTTTGTGGTTTATGTCTGGGAAAAAAATCCTTACTGTAGTTGTTTAATTTATTTTTTTTCTTTCCTCCCCCCCCCCCCCCCACCCCCCGGTGTGTACGATGTTCCGCTGAACCCTCTTCATTTGGTGCCTTTCTATGCTGGGGCCCGTTTTCATGATTTCCACCACATGAACTTTATCGGCAATTACGCGTCAACCTTCACGTGGTGGGACAGACTCTTTGGTACAGACTCTCAATTCATTGCCCATAAAGAAAAAGAGAAGAAGGAACAACTGCTAATGAAGAAGGCTAACTAAATTTCCAGTGTAAAAATTCTGAAGCTAATACTGGTAGTCAGCTTTTGCTTTTCTGTAAAGCAAAACAACGATTGGGTGTTAAGCATAAGTCTTGTTCCTTGGCTATGAAGCGGTAAGTAGGGAAAAACAGCTAATTATACTGCAGTATCTTTCTAATGGGAATGCATTCTCTTTTATATGTAAGTACTGCATATATTTTGACTACAGATTTAAAGATGATGAAAAAAACCAGATATGACTTGTGTCTGTGGGTTTTTTTATTTGGAAAAAAAGATCAGTTTTATCTTTGATGTTGCCCACTTTGGATCGAGGTAGAATTGTGTATGTTACACTGAAATTTGAGTTAGTTTTTTTTAAATAATTCTTGAATATTCTTACATTTGTATTATCAAATAGCAGAACATATTAACTAGTATCAGCACTGTATTATTTAAATATTTGGTAAAAGTTGCCTCAAACCAAAACGCATGTTAATAAGAATCTTGGACTGGCCTTTTGCACACTGGATAATGCAAACTGTTAGTAACAGAATACCTGGCTAAACATGAGTTAGCAGAGAAATTCCTGATCTAGATTTATTATGTTATTTTAGATTACAGGTAAAAAGAATAGAAGGTTTTATTTGAAGAAACCGTTTTTTGCTGCTCTTTTGACGTTGGTCTGTCAGTGTACCTAGCATTTGCATTACATTCTTCTCTATGTGTTGTAATTTGCTGAACTGACTTGTTGCTATATTTGCACTTGTGACTGATGAAATAAATGTAGTTTGGTTTCATGCGTGTATTATCTTTCATACTTTTTTTAATACAAAGCTGGCATAAAAAACATGTAGGGTGTAGCGTCTTACTCTGTTCATCTCTAATTGAGAAGCGTTATTTCTCTTAGTACGGTCTACAACAGTTCCATCTGTTAAAGTACTTACAGAGACAGCAATGAGAAATGGAAACGGAGAACATCTTGTAAATTCTGCTGGTTTGTGTCTTGAAGGACTTGGGTATGTAGCTACTCAGTGTAGCGACAACTTTTGCACCAAGTGCATTCTCAGGTTAAGCTACAGCTTTCATAAACTAGAATCTCAAAATCTACTACTTGAGTTCTACTAGTAACAGAAGCAGTAGTCTAATATTGTTGAATCTACTCTAAATATTTGTCGCACAGGAAATAACAGTGGAAGTATTTAAGAAGGACTTAAACCCTTATAAAGACCTTGCACTTTGTGTTTTCATGTCAGCTGCTCTCAGACTTCAAATACTGTTTCATCTACCCTGTAAGTCCTTTAGAGATGCTTACAGTGTTTTCCTTACCCAAAACCACCTGAATTTTCATGCTGCTCCGCGTGCAGTCTGGATTAATACTCAAAACAGGCACTCCTGTGAAAGTGCAGATGCGATCAGGCTTCTAACGAAAAAACAAGGCGTTAATGGCATTCAAA